CAGGCCTGGGGCCCCCCCTCCGCTCTGGGGTCCCTGGGGGGGGGCCTCCATGCTGCCAGCTGGACCCTCCTGCAACTTCCCCCTCTGACCACATGGTGGCGCCCTCCCCCAGGGCCTGGAACACAGCAGGGCTGGCGCCAGGACAATTCACACGCAGACACGCGCTCAGACACATGGACGCGTGCAGTGACAGAGACATGCACACGCACACACGCAGACACACGCGTACAGACACACAGACACACACGCAGTGACAGACATGCACACGCACACACACGCGTACAGACACGCGCAGTGAGAGACATGCACACGCACACACACAGACACACACGCGCGCGCGTAGACACGCACAGTGACAGAGACTCGCACACGCACACACGCAGACACACGCTCAGTGACAGAGACATGCACACGCACACACGCAGACACACGCGTAGACACGCGCAGTGACAGACATGCACACGCACACACACACAGACACACACGCGCAGTGACAGAGACATGCACACGCACACACGCAGACACACGCGTACAGACACGCAGTGACAGACATGCACACGCGCACGCACACACACGCGTACAGACACACAGACACGCGCAGAGACAGACATGCACACGCACAGACACACGCGTACAGACACGCGCAGTGAGAGACATGCACACGCACACACACAGACACACACGCGCGCGCGTAGACACGCACAGTGACAGAGACTCGCACACGCACACACGCAGACACACGCTCAGTGACAGAGACATGCACACGCACACACGCAGACACACACGCAGACACACGTGTACAGACACGCGCAGTGACAGACACGCACACGCACACGCACACACACAGACACACGCGTACAGACATGCGCAGTGACAGAGACGCGCACATGCACACACACGCGTACAGACACGCGCAGTGACAGAGACATGCACACGCGTGCACGCAGACACGCGTACAGACACACAGACACGCGCAGTGACAGACATGCACATGCGTGCATGCAGACATACACGCGTACAGACTCACAGTCGCGCAGTGACAGGGACATGCACACGCGTGCGCGCAGGCACACACGCGTACAGACACAGAGACATGCGCGCAGTGACAGGGACATGCACACGCGTGCGCGCAGGCACACACGCGGACAGACACAGAGACATGCGCGCAGTGACAGGGACATGCACACGCGCAGACATGCGTACAGACTCACAGACACGCGCACAGTGACAGACATGCACATGCGCGCATGCAGACACACGTACAGACATACAGACGCGCCCAGTGACAGACATGCACACGCATGCACGCAGACACACACACAGACATGTGCGCAGCGATAGAGGCATGCACACAGACACAAACATGCACACAGATGCATGCACAGAGGCATGCACACGCACCCACGCAGACACACACACGTACACACACAGACACGTGTGCAATGACAGAGGTATGAACGCATGCAGACACACACACAAAGACACATGTTCAATGACAAAGAGATGCACACGTGTGCATGCAGACATGCACGCACAGACACAGACACGTGCACAGAGGCATGCACACGCACGCAAACACACACGTACACACAGACATGTGCGCAGTGATAGAGGCATGCACACATGCACACGCAGACACAAACACGCACACACAGACACACACACACAGAGGCATGCACACGCACTCAGACATACACAAAGACACATGTTCAGTGACAAAGGGATGCACACGCATGCATGCAGACATGCATGCACAGAGACATGCACACGCACGCAGACGTACACGCGCACAGATGCGCTCACGCAGACACACACACACACACACAAAGACACATGTTCAGTGACAAAGGGATGCACACGCGTGCATGCAGACACACGCACAGACACGCGCAGAGGCATGCACACGCATGCACGCAGACACACACACACACAGACATGTGCGCAATGACAGAGGCATGCACGCACGCAGACACACAGACGCGCTCACGCAGACACACACACGCACGCAGACACACACGCACGCAGACACACAGACACATGTTCAGTGACAAAGGGATGCACACGCGTGCATGCAGACACACGCACAGACACGCGCAGAGGCATGCACACGCACGCACGCAGACACACACAGACGTGCTCACGCAGACACACACACGCACGCAGACACACACAGACGCGCTCACGCAGACACACACACACGCTCACGCAGACACACACACAGGCTCACGCAGACACAGCCAGACACCCCCCTACCTCCTGACAATCATCTTCAGCGTGCGGTAGGAGCCCTTGATGAGCACCAGCGCCTCCTGCCGGGAGCCGTACAGCGGCGTGCCGTTAATGTTCACCAGCTCGTCCCCGGGCCGCATCTTGCGGGACAGGGCCGCCTTGCCTCCATCCTCCACCTAGCGCAGAGCCAAGACAGCCAGCGTCAGACCGACGGGCAGCCCAGCACCTCTGCCCTGAGCCCCGCCCGGCTGCCACGGGCAGAGATCTCGTGGGACAGAGGGTGCACTGCACAGTGGGCGAGCTGGGCCACGTGGCAGGGCTTGGGATGCACCAGGCCCATTGAGGCGATGCATATCCTGGGGGGGCTGGGCAGTCATTGGGGGGTCAGGGGAGGAAGGCCTCCCAATGCCAGCCCCCATCCGTAGGGCTGCAGGGTCCCCGTGCCTCTGTGCACATAACAAAATGTATTCCGCACATGGGGGGAAAAGTTGGCAGAACGTTGCCAGCGCCCCTCCAAACCCTCGTCCCCAATGTGGCTACTGGGCGCCTGGGCGACAACACGCCATCCCGGGGCACCGCCCTGAACAGCTAGGCACTGCCCCGTGCCCCTCACCATGGTACCAGGCACCCATCCTCCCTCGGGCACTGCCCTCTGGGCCCTCCTGCCGTGCGCCACCCCCTGCCACAGCTGGATTCCAGCAAATGCTGGAGGAGCCAGGGGGTGCCTGGAGTCCCCGGCCAGGGATCAGCTCCTGCCCCACCTAGTGCTGACCGCTCGGCCAAGGGACCAGGGCAGGGCAGGTCTGCCCCAGGACGGCCCCCAGGGCCTGGCACCGCCAGCACCGTCTCCCCCTCCGCTGGATCTGCGG